TCCCAGATCTCCAGATGCATTTGAGATATCAAAAAAGTACTCCAGAGTGTTGTTTAGCATGGGGGTGAGTAGAAAATAAAGGCTAATCATGTTTTGGGTGTACTATTCCTTTAAGGTAGAAGTCACAATGTCAGGGGAAAGTGGCAACTTGGCAGAGCCTGCGCGCTCTTAATGCTTTTATGAGATTCCAAATGTAGGTTTATTTTGAAAATAAATAAAAGCATTTCTAATAATTCATTTTAATTAGAAAATTAGGGCACATTTTCTTCAAACTAAGAACAATGGAGCTTCAAAATAAACAGAAAATCAGATATATTCTTAATGAAAGGCAGACAACAAGTATGAGAGATCGTCATGAAACCAGTGTTGTTTTTGACAGCATCTTAGATTTGGTCTTAGTCTTCAGGATGAAAACTATTATTAGTTTGAATCACATTATAGTCATTACAATATGTGAAAGTTTTAGTCTGTTTTAGTTGACTACAACTTAAAAAGATTTTAGTCTAGTTTTAGTCAGTTTTATGTTGCAAATAGGTTAACCTTTACAATTTTGAATAACAGCCAGACTGACAGCTCTTGTCTTGATACTACAATAGCTGGGTATAGAATGCTGCCGTGCAGTTCATCATTGCTGTTGGGCAGAAAACTTTGATTTATAGCATTCAAATAAACTTTCTGAATTAATGCACTACATTGTAAAAAAAAGTGTCTCACAAAAATGTGAAAATAGCAGATCGAGTTCAACACATTATATTGGTTAAAATAGCAGACAGTTAAGCTGACAAAACATACATGGTTTCCATCGTAAAGCAAACACTTCCTGATCTACTATGAATTACGCATTACACACAGATCAATAAAATCTTCATTGCTCAAAAAAACAAATAACAAAACATCAGAACAGATCATATCAGAGTTTGTCAGAGTTAAGCATGCAGTACTGGACCATTCCGGGATATTTTTTCAGACCTATCTGCAGCATGTGCAACGCTGGGTAGCAGATTGAGAGCAGGATCAAACAGGACACAGCTGCACGGCTGATACTGCTTAGCAGATAACTGTACAATGATGCATTTGAAACATCAGACCAACAACCGACAATTTTAATTTAGTCTCATTGACGAAAACTCAAACCTATGACTTGTGTAAGTCATCAGGGATCCATGTTTAGCTCGTCAGTTTTCGATTGACGCTTCGAATAAGAAGCGTAAATTAAATAATTTTGTCATCCTCATCGCTGACAAAAACAACACTGCATGAAACAGTATGTTAACTAGACCAACAGAGCAACTTCAAAGTTGATTACATAATAAGCCTGTAATGGTCAAGACATGATGAATTAAGTGTGATCAGGTAAGATGTATAAACTCAAACACTGTGCACACCGTTTCAGATTTGATAAACTGCTTTGCAGGTTCCAAGTATTGATGTTGTAATACGTTCCTCAAATAAATTCTTGCACTTTGACTATCAGTGTACATATTCACGAGTGCACACACAAAAAGAAATGTGCCTGCTATTCAGCTTTTTATATACATTTAATAATAAATTATCAGATTTGAAGTTCAGTTTCCCATATGTTATTTATTTACTTAACATTTAAACATCTGCCTTGTCAAGGATTTGTCATATTTTTCACAATCAATTTATAAAATACCAATTTTTATGGAATGTAAGAAGTCAGCAGCCACAGCTTTTTCTCTTTACGGTTCCCTTAAGGTGATAATTCCTCCCATTTCAGCATTGATGTGTTTTTAAATGTAGACAATTCAGTCTCTTTAAATTAATCTTACAAGCAATTGATTTTTTTCAGACTGCAGAGAAGAGTCCAAAAAAAAATTAATCTTTTCAGATATGGCTTTCAAAAAATATAGATCAATATAGATAAGATGAAGTCAAAGTTATATCTTATTTATTTAGATATTTTAAACATGCTAGAATGATAGATTTCATTAGAGAATATAAACAGCTGTAACAACATTAATGTTCATACATTTAAATAAGATATAGTAGACAGTCTAAAGCCAAGTCTGTAAGTTTTAAAAACGTGGGAATTGCTAGGAAATCCTGCAGGTTAAAAAGTCAAGTACTCTGTTAGGAACATGAGACACAATTGGATCTCTGACATAAGATGGGGTTTAGTTATTTAGGACTTTTTTTGTAAGGAGGAGGATCTTAAATTCTATTCTGGATTCAGCAGGAAGCCAATGGGGGGACGCTGAACAAACAAAATAAAACCAAAAACACAAAACAGAGCAGAGCAGAGCAGACAGAAGCACAGCTTCTGTCTGCTCTGTTAATCTGCTCTGTTCTAGACTGATTCCTGGATTCTACTGGCTTACCGAACTTGGACTGTTCTTCTAACCTCGGCTTGGATTCCCCTTCTTTACCTCATCGGCTCTCTGATCTTCTGGTCTGTGAACTTAGTTCTGCTGCGACTTCGGCTTTGGATATGCCCTTCAAGACTCTTTTGCCGCTCAAAGTTGGCTGGCTTCAGCTCCACTCTTCACCCAGAGCTCTAGGGGCGGCGCCCGCTTCAAGCAGAGGACAATTTCCCCCTTGGATTCATCTCCTTCCTCTGGGAACCAACTGAACTCTGAACCAGATCAGTGACTAATAACAGGCTGATAACAGAAAGAGAAAATAGTCACTGATCTGGTTTCTGTTCCTAGATGGGATACGGTTTATCTGCTCCAGGGGAAGAGCAGCCGCATGCAGACTTGTGCAATATGCTGATGCGTGATGACGCACACAGACTTGTTTTGAACTAATCCATATCTATCCTCTTTGAATATTGTGTCCAAGGTTTTGAGTTTATGACAGTTAAAATGCACCTTTGTGGCTTTAGTTTTATAAGCGGTGGCTGAGGGAGAGAGAACATGTCAAAGAACAAACAGCAATGATTGCTCATGTGGACATCTTCTACACATAAATTTGTATAAATTTGTAGACCTAAATAGAAGACTAGATCTAATATGGCCCTTTAGATGTGTGGAGTAAGTTACATGCTGCTTAAAGTTAAAAGCTTCAGTCATTGATAAAAATTCCATTGTAGAGTTTGATATCATTGTCAATATGGAGGTTAAATCCCCAAGGATTAAAACTTTTTCCAGTTTTATTAAAGACGAAAAAAAGTCAATAAAATAATTTTAAAAGATGCCAACTGGGCCAGGAGGTTATACAGATAGATAATGACAAACATTAAAATAATCTAAAGTCAGCTAACCTTAAAGAAAAAAGGATAAAATAAATAAAGAACAAAACATCCAGCTTGTGTCCAAATAATAATGTGAGAATTACCGCTCTTAATATTGTTCAGTTCAAAAGTTATTATTCCCCCCCCCCCAGACCATAATGCCCCCATCTGAGTGAAGAGCCTTCCTCAGCAAAGTGCAATAGTGTAATAAAATGTGAAGATTGTGAAACAGGTTGCAAGACATGACTTTGATGTCCCCTGAATACCAAACTGATATAAAGGTGTAATGAAGGAATTCGTTTATTGATCATATTTTGTTTTATGTTTCGTTGTATCCTGGTTATTATTACTTTATTGCTACAAGCTTATCCAGGTGGCGCATTTCCTGCAAATCAATGACTCTCTGCAATCAAAGTGTTTTCCTTGACAGAAACTTTTAACCAGTTTGACTGTACTGCCTCTGCAAAGTGCCTTGAGGTGACAAGTCTTGTGTATTCTGACTGTATAAATAAACTGAATTGAATTTAACTTTAAAACAAACAGTTTAAAAGCACATTTCCCAGGGTTACAGTAACATAGCCTGATAAGTAAATTTAAAAACAACCAGAAATAGGCCAGAAAAAAGCAGACGCATCTTGGGATGGGATTTATGTGTAAAAATACCTTTAGTTGTTGTTTCTAAAATAATTAACTTTCTCTTTGTATTTAAAAACTAATACAATTGATAACATGACTGCATTGCTCTTAAATAAACCACATTCTTAAATAATTTAGTTCAGTTGGAAATTAACAAAACTGAATAATCATCTGCTCTACTTCTCTGTTCCCACATAGTTTCTCTTGTCAAGAATTTTGTAAAAATACTAAAACCAGCACAACTTTACTTTACTTTACAAAGACATTTTACTTTACCCTAAATAATTCAGATTTTGTATCTTGCTAAACACTAAGCAATAATTTCATGTGACGAAGAGTTTTCAACACCTGAAATCAAATTAATCAAATTTGACAATTATTCTTACAAGATGTTTATATTTTTATTAATTTAATCTCAATTCATTACTATTATTGTGTACAGTTTTACCCTGGTGCATTATCAGTGGATGCAATCAAGAAGCACCATGTATAAAACAACTTTGTTTTTCACTGATCAGTAAGAACTTTTCAAAACAAAAATCTAAAGCCAAACTTTTTAATTCTTTTGCAGCTATTATATTGTAGTACTCTTTCTTCTCTTTAGTAGATTAACACAGCTTGTCTGACACAATTAAAATGAATCCACATTGTGCAGAACTCTTATCAACAGGCAGTTTAGCCGAGCCTTTCAGCTAGCAGGCATACACACAGTTTAGAAAGAAGCCTATTGTGTTCTTCTTTTCATGTACAAGAGACTTCGGAATTATATGGTTTTTATTGGCCTTGTAAAACTTTATCAGGATGGATGGAGCAAAGACCCTGTTCTAGACAATTTTTAACATCAATGTAATCTTACAAATTTAGGCTTTACTCATTCCTTGGTATTGTTATATTCTTTCAGTCATGCAATAATTTAAGAGTAAAAGACTATATCATTTCAGAGCTTAAGATAAACACATTAGATCATGTTATATCTAAACATCCCTTCAAAATGCTTACGTTTCCTATAATAAGATCACAAACAATTGAACAATTGAAGGTGATTATTTGCATGTGCTACTCCAGTACACATGAAGAAATAATTTAGTTTAGTTAAACTCTGTGCAATAGGCTGTGCATCAATCTCATGTCATACAAAGAAGTGTGTGTGACCTAAAGCTCCTATGCAGTGGATAGGAAGATCAGAAGGTCTCTATGCTTAATGAATTTCCATAGGAAGTATCTTGCTTCCTCTTTCTACCTTCTTCTTTACTGCCAGCCTATTTCAGATAGCACATATCATAGTGACTGCTGATATATTTGTGCCTTGGGTTAAGTATTTATACAATTTTTCCCAATTTGGATGGAGCCCTAATCTGGATCCTAAGTCTGTAACTGCTGTTTTCATATAAGCCAGCTTTCCTTCAGGATTACACATGGTAGCAACAAGGCAATGCTAAGCACTGACACATTATCATGTTAGAGAAAAAAAAACCCACAGCTATTTATTTAAAATTTTTCCAGTTTTCTCTCTTTTTTTTAAAGTGGATTTACAATTCACCATTGAAGGTAAAAGTACGGAGGACCCATCCTTGTAATGATCTCAGAATGTTGGACCCACAATTCAAGGCGAGACAGGCAATGGGAAAGTTCAAAACGTTTATTTTAACTAACAGGAGCACGGGGCTGCTCGTTTGCTGCGGGATGGATCTCTGCAGGGATAGGAGAATACAGGTCAGTGACTGGATGAGGAGCTGAATACGACTTGGAGCTAAGTCACTGACCTGATTCAAAGTTCAGTCCGTTCGCGGAGAACACAGCTTAATTCAGGACGGAGGTTAGACCGCAGTTGCGGCGGGTGACGCCCACAGAGTTCCTAGAGAGCGAGCGGGCGCCAGCCGACGCAGAGCAGCAAACAAGTCCAGAAGGGAAATCCAAGGCCGAAGTCAGAAGACAGGTCCAGGGTCAGAAGCTAGTAGAATCAGGCTCGCCTCCAGAAATGTTTCACAGTGGTGGACAGATGGGCCTCTTAAATTCTTGGGGTGGCACACAGAAACATAATTTCAGGGTTTTATTCTACTGCTGTGGTAAAACTGCCCGTGGAAAACTATCATAAAGATCTAAGTAAACACCTACTCCTTTTGACTTATTGTGTGATTATTAATGTTAGTACTGATCTAATGTGCACAGACATAGACCAGTTAACATTTTGAGTGAGCAATAGTTGTGTTTTATTTATATTTGAAATAAGTTGTACATTTATTCATTTTTTGAAAACAAAAAATGACTGCTGGTCCAGGAAGAGGTGGAACACCTGCTTTCACTGAGTTCTGCCAGGCTTCTGTCATCTAAGGTACTGACTGTCCCTGGTCTGCTGCTGTTTGATGCTTTTCCTCATCACTGTTCTTTACTAATGCTGCCTCTGTGTCCTCATCATGCTGCTTGATCTGTTTCTCTCCTCCATCCTCCTTCTCCTCTCTCTTCTCCTTCTCCTCCTGCTCCTCTCCCCCCTCCTCCCTCTCTCTCTCTCTTCTCCTTTTCCTCCTGCTTCTCCTCCTTCTCTTCTTCTGCTCCTCCTCACTGGTTATCTGTTGCTCCCCTGTCATCTCTTTCTCTGCTTCTGCTGTAATTCTTCTTAAAATAAGAAGAGATGTCTGTGGACTTTTGTCTTCATGTCTGAAAATTGACAAGCTATAAACAATCACCAACTCATCCAGTTAGCTACAGAACTATGTCAAAAACACACTAAAAGCTGCTTTAACAGTATAATGTTACAGTTGACATATTCCCCTTTTCTTTCCCAAGAAATGATTTGACTTATTTACTACTGTTAGTTTTATACGCTTTCTCACCGTTAAAGCGGACATGGGCTGAGTCTTAATTCTCTGAGTGCACAACCGCGATCTTTACCGGTAGGTCATTTGGGCAAGCGCAAGGAAATATTGGGTATATATATATATATATATATATATATATATATATATATATATATATATATTTNATACAGAGAGATATAAATGTATGAATCTCTTTTAATTAGCTTCTTTATTTATTCGCCTTTGTAATAATTACCTTATTTATTTACTGTCCCTTATATTCTTCAATTGTATTCATTTATTATTAGCTTCTTTGTTTATTTGCCTTTGTAATAATTACCTTATTTATTTACTGTCCATTATATTCTTCAATTGTATTCATTTATTACTTATTTCTTTAAGTATTTATTTATGTACATGTTATAATATTTTGTCTGGTTTAATCTTCCTTGGTATTTTTTTACCCTATCTATTTCTTCAATGCTATTTATTTCTGTCTGTCATATTTACATTTCTGTATACATTTCTGCCTCATTATGCAAATGAGGAGGGGTGTGTCTTAAGGGCTCAATTTCTCCCCATTTGTTGGTTAGCAGCCACAGTCACAACAAACATGGCTACCTACTGTACAATGAAGTGGTCAGTGAGCTGAGACATTTAGCAACTGTTTTTGACAACAATGCCAAGGATTTTTATCATCTGGGTAATCCAAATCCTGGGGCTTTAAATCCCAGGGGTTTCAGTAAAAATATTTTTAGTTCATGCAGATCAAGAATGAAACACTTTTCAAGTTGTTAATTATATAAGATTTATTTTACTGAACCATCACAAAGCATTTTTTTTTAGCACAATAACTGAATTTCAGTATAATGTTTTTATTTACACTAGAGATTTCCCTAATCCAAGGTGTTTTTTCTAGGTACTGTTCTGTTAGATTAAAGGATAAGATCCACAGCCCACTGGGAGCATTAATATACTCACAGTCTTGCTATAAGAACATTTGATATCAATATTTCTTGAGACCAAACAGTGGTTATACGTCAGATTACTTGATTCGGATGCTCTGATTGTTCCGTGCTGTTGTAAGAATCTGTAGGGTTAGAAACACAATGCTGAGGTAAACAGAGTAAAAAGTTTTAGGCAATTTAAGGTAGTCTGACAACATAGTAAAAAAACAAGCAACAGTTACATTTTCCATTTAAAGTAGTTTTACTTTTTCATCGTGAAATGTTATTTTTTTCATGCCCTTTCTTACCTTTCTTCTTGCAAGTAATGTATCCAATAACTGCTATGATGATGAGAACAACAAACACCAAGGAAGCAGCTATAGGGGCAGCTGGGTTAAAGGACTCTTCTGTGAAGAACAAAATACTACAGCTAATGTTGCATAAATAGGAAACATGGCAGACAAAAATGGGCAAAGATCTGTTAACTTATGGCATTGCTTAATTTCATCTTTGATTTTCATTATGATTACCTTAGGAACAAAGGATTCTCTATTAGTATTTGTAGCAGATTGATGAAAAATTGTGTAAGCACAAAATAAATCCAATGCATGCACAAAATAAATCCATTCTATATGGTGACCCTCTGGAATAACATCCTGTTTCTACTAAGCTTTGCTTTTCTTGTTATAGCTTTAGGCTCAAAACTGTTGTATTTGAGTAATTTTGTTTTCAAATTCCAATCTAAAGGAACAATCTTCCATAATGAAAAATTTAATATGAAAAAAAAGCAAAAAAATCCTGTAGTTCGTCACCTAAATATTAAAGAAAAGACGAACATCCTAAACATAAAAACATGACATCTATTATTTCCCACTTACGCTGATTGGTTTTAATAATTGTCTTATCCAGAGGGATGATGATGTCGTTGCTGACACCATAGAGCTGAAAGACACAGTCGTATTTCCCCCAATCTTTGAGTGGAAATAATGAGACATTCAGCACAGTCTCCATCTGGAATGTTTCATCATGGTTTGGGAGGATCTCTCCATGTTCTACACCTTCATGAATCTCCTCTTCACTCCTCCTCCAGAACATCTCAGCGCTCTCTGGGTAGAAACCTGTAGCATGACAGCTCACTGGAGAGGAGGGGGTCTTCTGGAGGAGATACACTTTAGGAAGAACTGTTGATGGAGAGATGGAAATAAAAAAAGATTCCATGTGGAAGATTTATTCATAGAAGTATGTAAAGGTTAAGTGTCTGTCATTGTAACAATTTAATGTATTAGTATTTTATTCACTGATTGATATCAACCCAGCATCTCACAGCAAATAATCTTTTTATTAATTTTAAAAACAGGTTGTATTTATTTACATACTGTAAAAAAATGTCAATTCAAATGAGTGTTTTTTTCGATTACAAAAAAAAAAAAAAAAAAAAAAGACTACCATTGCTACTATGAATCAAAATAACCAAATGATTTTACTGGGCAGTTTTGCTATATGAGTACAATAAATAAATATTGATTAACATTGATTCTGATATTACATGTGTAATTTTTATAACTGGTTATAATTTTTATAACCTTTTTATAACTGAATATATTCAAATTAATACAGTTACCAATGGTCAAAGCGGTTTAATTTTGTGTAATCCATATGCAAAAATATTCCATTGTACTTTTTAAAGAAGATAAAACAAGTGATTTATTTTCCTTTGGTCTTTAAAACGTGGATATCAAATGTGAAAATAATGAAGTATCTGGATTATCATCCAGTTAGCTCCAAAACGCTAAATAGTATAGAAAACTAAATTAATTTCTAAGGCCTTGTTAGTAGTAATGGCAGAAGAAGCCTTCTAGATGCTCTAGCATACATTAGAAATGTGAACTAACTGGTGGATCCCAAGAATAAATGTAGAACTTAATCAAAGATTCTGATTAGCAGGACTGACCGGAGGATGGGGGACAATGACAGAGTTGGGACAGCATTATGGAAAGAACAGATTATCCCCCAGCTCATTTCTGTAATTAAGTGCTCATGTTCTGTAAGGATGGAGGCGAAGATATGTTTACTTTTAAGTCTGTTATAAATGTCTAGCCAGATGTTTGACAGGTTCACCCTTAGGTCACTTCAGTATCTTGAATTAGTGCACATGATCTGTGGCCCAGCTAATAGGTGTGTTTATATATAGAATGTTTCTACTAATGAGCAAGACTAAACATCAGCACATTACATATTTGTATGAGCTACAGAAATTAGAGAGACACCAGGTTAAAATCGTGGCACCTGCCACAGCTCTGGAGGAGGTGCCAGATAGCCTGGCACCAATTCTTATGTCCTGCTGTGGCACAGGAACAAAGGCAGTGACACCTGCCACTTAATTTCAATGTAATGCCAGGCTACTGGAGCTGGTGCCAAACAGCCTCCCACTGATTTCCATGATCACAGCGGCATTTTTTAGTGGCACTTCCGGTGGCACTGGTGCATCTTCGTAGTCAGAGAATTCTACCAAGTACCAGGGTGTTTTTAATAATTTTTTTTTTTTTTGTCGGTAACCACTCTCATTAAGCTCTTAGACTGTGTAATAAGCTGACTGTTTGTGCAGTGAGTTTTTGCCATCCTTTACGTCCTATACATACCATGCTATTAGGACATATAGGCCTAGTTTACGTCTTAAGGATACAGTCACTGTATATTTTGGAACTAACACTTATTGATTCAAAAGCAATAACTCAATCAATTGCCAAAAATCAACATTGCTTCCACGAAAACAGTAGCAGTCGCCGTGGGATGTTGAAGGCTTTTACAGCTGGTCTGGCATCTTTGTAGCGTCCTGGCATCCTCTGACACTATCATTCATTTTCGTTGCACTCAACAGCCACTGTCTTTATAAGAGTGACACCGTATTTTCACATTAGATTTTCTTATCACAGTTCAAACCACTGTCACAAACAGTTACCTTGTAACTGTTTCATGAAGTTGTTTAAAAATGTTTAGAACTGGCATTAAATAACCCTAAAATCCAAAATTTTGCCAATAAACAGAAAAAGAAGTGTGGCAGGTGGCCTGCCGGCTTAGTGACACATTGTTCCAGTGGCATGCCGCTGCAGCTGCCACAATGTGCCAGAGGATGGCAACAGTTTTACAAGCCTTTATTAGATATAATATAAATAAAATGTGATTATTTGGAAGTAGTCTATTGCAGGCGTCTATTGTCAAACCATTAACCCATAAACATCAGAAGTGCGGCAGGTTGCCTTTTGGCTTAGTGACACCTTGTGTTATTCGCATGCCAGTGAAAGTGCTGTTCGAAGTGCCACTACTATTCTCCAGCTGCCACCAAAAGTGCCACTATTAGATCCAGCTCTCACCGGAAATTCATCCTTAAAGGGTCCATCCGAATTCATCAGATCAGTAAGGACACAATAGCTACAATGGTGCTCATCATCTCAGTCAGCATGATGAGTGCTGTCTGAATAGCTGGGACAGTAAGAAAGAAAGCAAGCAAAAGAAGAAAAATGCTTCCCATTGATAGCTAATTAAGCATACAGACATAGCAATGTTCCTATCTAGAGCTCAGGAGCTATGCAGACTCCAACAGTTCTTGCATGACAAGACATATAGGCACAGACCACCTCAAAGAATTCAACAAAAAGACATTATTTATTCACATTTACTCTGTGTGACACATGCAAATGTACACATGTGCATATGTTTTAGATTTTTTTATGGAGTCCTTCACCCGTTCATTACATTTTTGTAACTTGTTGTTTTCCTGGTTCTTATGAGGAAGGCTCTAATCAAATTTGTCGCATAAAGACATCCGTAGGTTGAAGGCTGTCTGAATATTGGTGTAGCAAACCAGAGTTCAAAAATAGAATATGTAAGGGTTTCATTAATTATATCAGCATCTTACAATGATTTTTATTACATTAAATTTTATAAAAAGTGTAAATATTTATTGGTTGTTAAATTATGTTAGCTTTAATATATTTTATTTTTAACCTTTAAATTAAACCAGGAAACGTCTGTTTATTGTCTAAGCGGCTGTTTTGTTTCAGTTTGAAACTTAATAAAAACATAAACTTTTTTCCCAAAAGAAAACTATTTCAAGTACATTACATTTTTTGGTATTTCTCAAAAAAAAAGCAAAAGCACACAAACAACTGTATTATACCTGTGTGTTGATGTGCCCAAATTTTTAGGAACTCACTCAGCACTATTGGGCATTCTATGGTGAAAATGTAATGAGCCAGTTTGGTAAATTCTTTGTCAAGGTCCAATCTCTGTTTAATTGAGACCGCTTGATCACTTTGAGGAATCCATGCCGAGCTATTGATATCAAATGTCATAAGGTCTTCTCCATTAAAACCAGCCCGTACGAAACTAAAAGGCTGACTTTTGTAGTCATCCATCTCACAGCAACCCATAAACTGTAGGATGTGTACACCTGAAAGTAAAGGGGGAGAAAAGTTTACAATATTTCAGATCAACTCAACTCAACTCAACTTTATTGTCAAATGTGCTACATGAAACATACAACACAGATGAAATTTCCATCCCCTCAACCCCACGGTGCATAATAAAATATAAATATATATATATATATATATATGTATTAAATGAGCCATAGCACGAAAATAAAAACCTAAGATATAAAATAAATATTAAAATATTAATATGTAAACAGTAGTGTGAATGGTGCAAATAGTGCATAGAGTAGCAGTCCAGGGGAGAGTGGTGGAAAGTAGTGGAGGATGGGGATATTGGGGGGTCAGGGAGGGGCGAAGGGGGGCAGGGCAGGGAGGGAATTGAGCATCCTCACTGCCTGATGGAAGAAGCTGTCTCTTAGCCTACTGGTTCTGGCCCGGAGACTCTGCAGCCTCCTCCCGGACGGCAGCAAGGTGAAGACATTGTTGGCGGGGTGAGTGGGGTCACCTGCGATCCTGGTGGCTCTGCGGGTGAGGCGGGAGTGATAAATGTCCAATAGAGAGGGGAGGGGGACACCGAGGATCTTCCCAGCTGCTTTCACGGTGCGCTGCAGTATCAAATAATACATTTTAAAAATAACTGATATTGGCAGGATATTGAAAAAAAATGTTTTTCTTTATCATGCTGTCAGATCAGCATACGCTTAGTTTTTATCTAACCTCAATTAATTATGTCACAATATAAACCACAGCGAATGTTTTCAATGGTTTTAAACATAAAAACAAGATGTAACCAAATTAAAATTCCAGCACACACATTTTTATTACTACTAAAGTAACTTATTTTACATTAATATTGACTAATTTCTCTGGCTGTTTCAACTTCCCAGAAATAACAGTATTATACAAGCTGATTTCTCTTTTTTTAAAGTTATTAAACATGTTTTAACTGGTCAGTACACTGCTGCTTAAATTCATTGTGGGAATAATTCTCTGCTGCGCATGTACGCATCTGCATATCAGAACAATGTACTGTATACCAATCTGACAGCGTATACTGTTCTAACAGAACACCGGCTGAAGCCCTAAATTGTTCTGAGTATTTTTAATGTCCCCGCCTATAAGTTGGGCTCTACTGACTGGCCAACATACCCAGACTAAGCTCTAGTTGTGGATGATTGTTTTGTAGTTAGTAAATACCGGCCAACATAACTGTATGTGTCACTGCTCTTACTGCTTAGCATGTTTCTGTACCCTGTCATTCTGGTTGATTTTTGACACTGAACTGCTGTCAGACTTAGACTTAAAGTTTGTCCAAGTTCTAATTCTTATTACATAATAATTTAAAAAAACAATCCACTGGACTTGGTTTCCAAGGTTCGAAGACATTTCGCTTCCCGTCCAGGAAGCTTTCTCAATTCAAATGTCTGGATTCGCAGTGAGTTTGAGGCTTTAAATAGACAAGACCTGGTGTTGCTTGGAAACATGCAAATTGAAACTGACGAGTGGTCCGTTCTGTTCCATTGTTAGCCTGTAATATCTGAAACCTGTCTATGATTGTGAAAGGTCGTCGTTAAAGGCGGGATTGTTCACCTATCAGAAGAGAGGAGGTGCTTTGTTCCTCTGTGATAGGGTGGGGGTTGTGGTGATACCTGGAAGCAATTAACTCAATAACTGAATTGTAAGTTTTTGGAAACTGGAATCTGAGTCCACCACCTCTGTTAAAGGTTTCTTTTTCTCTCTTAACATAGATGGCTTCCTTCACACCCCTCTCAAACCGCATATTTCCTTTGCCCAAAATGTGAACATTCTGGTCCTCAAAAGAATGTCCTTTGTCCACAAGGTGTAGATGTACGGCAGAGTCTTGTCCAGAGGAGGCCGCTCTTCTGTGTTGGGCCATGTGTATGTGGAGAGGTTGTTTGGTTTCTCCAATATAAAGATCAGAGCATTCCTCACTGCACTGAACAGCAAATACCACTCCGCTCATATTGGGTCTTGGGGTTTTATTTTTAGGATGCACTAGCCTCTGTTTAAGGGTCTTGTTTAGTTTGAAATGTACTGGGATTTTGTGTTTGGAGAAAATCCTCTTGAGTTTTTCAGAGACTCCAGCAACATAAGGGATTGTGATGTTTTAGCGTTTAATTTTCTCACCGCTATCTTCTGCTGTGTGTCTTTTGGATGTCCTTGCTGATTTGATAAACACCCAATTTGGGGTTTGGAGAGCATATTTGATGTGTTTCTGTTCTTTGTGCATCCCTTCTGTTTTAGTAGGGACATGTTCTGCTCGGTGTTGTAAGTTTCTGATGACTGAGAGTTGGTTTTCCAGTGGGTGGTGTGAGTCCAAAAGAAGATACTGGTCTGTGTGAGTAGGTTTCCTATATACTTCAATGTTGAGGCTTCCATTTCCTTCCATGCTCAACAAACAGTCCAGAAAAGGTAGTTTCTTGTCCTCGCCATCCTCTCTGGTGAATTTGATGTTGTGGTCAACCAAATGGATGTGTCTATTAGTAAGCTGTTTAGCAATGTTGTATGTTACTGAGTTGATGCTGCTGACAATGGGCCTAAGCGGTGTTCCTTCCTTATGAAGTTTTGGGAGTCTATATAAGCAAGGAATTCCCTCCCCTGGGTATAATATAAAATAGACTGTACTGTTAATTACCTGTCTTTTTCAAGTTGTTTGCGTCTATTATTTTCTTTTTGTAGGCATATGTTGGATCTATTTTCAAGGATTCATACGTGTTAGTGTCGTTCAGTAGTGATAATTTTGTCTTGGTAGTCTGAGGTGTTGAGGACTACGGTGCATCTTCCTTTGTCTGCTGGTAATATGGTGATGCTTTGGTCCTGGCTCAGGGATGTTATGGCTTTCATTTCCTGTGGTGTGAGGTTGGAAAGAGGTGGTTTGGTGTTGGACAGGGTAGCTGTTACCTTCATTCTGAGCTGCTTTCCCTCTGTTTCAGCCAGGTTATTGTTCCTGATGGCCGATTTAGCCTTTACTCAGTACATCCATTTCTGGTTTTGTCAGTGGTCTGCTAGGTGGGTTTTTGACCCACTTGTCCTGGACCTCCATGTTGGAGGCTTGCTCCTGAGTCATGTTGCTATCTTGTTTAAACACTGCTTTCTGTTTTAATTTGTTAAATTTAGCTTTTTGTCTTTATTTTTTTTTTTTAAGGTTGTGAAAGCTTGACCTTATTAACAAATATGACAACTTCTTCAAACAAGTTTTTAGTGAGAAGGTTGGATAGTTTCTGCCTTGTCTGGTCTATTTTTTTTTTATTCTTACCAGTACAAATTACATCACTCTTCCCCCTTAATGTGTATTGGGGTGACATTCTCAGATAAACAAAAATAGTATTACTTCTATCTAAAATTAATATTCTGCATCCTTAAAAATTGAACTTCAGATCTCTGTAATACAATTGCTACTGGTCATAATTTGTGTTTCAGGACCAGGATCAGAATGTAAGTTTGAGCCTCTAAGATTTTCACAAAATCTGTTATACCCACTCAGAAAATCCCAAATGTTCAAGTACATGGATGTAACCTGAGAAAAGGAGCCCTTTGCCTTTAACATTCACAAATTGTGATCACACCGCAGTGAACAACAAGTCAGTGCAAAATGCCCCCTTCACCCCACAGGATATGGGCAAGCTTCTGCAGAGGTTGACTATCTTGAAGATGAACCGAGTGTAAGTCAATGTGGAAGTAAATGCTGGTTACAGAAATGAGACAATTCTGCCAGTGCTGACCCCGCCTGTGTCTCAGAACACTGATATAACTACACCAGTGTTTTTTTCTTGTTTTTTTTACAATGCCCTGTCTGGCAATGTGGCAATAAGAATAATTATCAAAAAGAGAGCCCTACAGAGTTTGCTTTCACAAGTGGAGCAGTAGGGCTATCGCCACAATGTTCCGCTTGATTTATGCATAAAAATAGCTTTATTATAATTCATGCAGGGAGTATTACAAATTATATGGACACTGCAATGTAAATAGAACAGGAAAGGAAAAACAGAAAAAAGGAGAAAAGATGAAAGAAAGATGAGATAAAAGGGGAGATGAAAGGGAGATAACGATAAAAAATTTTCAGTCTGTTTCATCGCCTGCAAATTGGGTCCTGTTTTTTGGTCTCACAATGCTATTGGGTCCTACATTTGTATACAAGGCCTGCCCTCTGGTAAAGAAGTCACACAACCTCCAGATATTTGATTGAGCATCATCCCCTTGATTTACTGGACTGGATTTATCTGTGAGTAAGTGAAAGGCTTTGCATATTTTTTCTGTGTTTATTACAGTGTCTACAACATGTAAATATGTAGTTATTGTGGAAAATGTGCTCTATGTTTTATCTAGAGCTTGTTTTGTAATTGTTGCACTATTACTGCATTGGGTGAATGTGGTAGTCAAAACAACCCTGTTTTTGAGAGGAATGTCTTGAGAGGAAGTTTTCCCAATATAACTTTGAACCACGCACACAGTAGTCCTTAGCCTTATATTGGAATACATATATTATTGTGTTAGAACCTAATATACAAAGATATATTGCCATATCTAATCATTTTAATTTACTTATAAGGATTTCTAACCACCTTCGTCACTCAGTATATTTTTTTTTTTTTTTTTTTTTTTTTTTTTTTAAATCAGAATGCTAATTGTGTGTACAAATCCTCTGAGAGCAAGTAGGCTGTTTATGAAATACATGCGGTGGTAAAATACTTAACATTTCCTTCACGTGATTTAAGATGTTACTCAGGAAGTTGAGCATATTATCGTGACATATGAAGCACATATCAAAGCGATTAAAGTCATGAAAGGGGAAATATAATAGAGGATAGAAGCATAAAGACATATTTAAGTAACATAACTGGCATTGGAGCTGTCAGTGTTGGAAGGAGATGAAAGAACAAAGAAAATGGTTTGACTCTTAATTAGGAAATGAAACCATCAGGGCGTTGCAATATTCAGATACAATTTAAAACCAGCTATTTAAAACAAAGTCTTACCTGAATATGCAAATTGAAAACAGTAAAACAGGGCAATCTTCTGCTGTGTTTGCAAATTTAGCATTCTAACTCCACCAACAAGTTTAAATGTTATCATTAAAATGTTTGGTTTCATATTTGTGTCTCCTTCTTGTAAATCCAAAACTGAATTGAACATTTTTGTTTCTAAAACGTAGCCTTCATTTTCTTTCTCAAACTTAACAGAGAGAGAATCATTTTAACGGAAATAATAAGCGCTGTTTCATTTGCTGCCATTGTAATCCCTCATAATCTACAGACAGAGATGGGAAGTAACGAAGTACAAATACTTCGTTACTGTACTCAAGTAGATTTTTCTG